ATGAATTATAGACAGATCATTCTAAAATACTATTTCCTTTTGCTTGGATTATGTCAATGATTTCACAGAATACCTCTCTTGTCTCTATTTACAAAATATCACTAATGATGTTTCTCTACGAAGCTTCTCTGTGACACTGTTGATTAGATGTTTCTCTGCTAAATCTCAAGCGTCTCTCTTTCTGTAAGGGTTTACCCAAGTGTTCTAGAAAGGGTCAAACAATTTCAATTCTTTTTTTTTCCCCAGTTTAATGTTCCCAAAATAAGGGTAAATACACAATTACTTTGATTTGTTTTCTTTTTTTCCTGTGCTTCCCACACTAGGAAATAATACTTCTCCTTGGGACAATAAAGAGAAATGCACACTCTTCCAGAGAAGTTGCAGGCAAATAAGTTTGTTTAAGTTTAATCAGCTACATGTTCTGGAATATACCAGTATAAGTCCAGCATTTCAACTGGATGCTTATTAATTAGTGACTAGAAAAGACTGAAAAATTCACACAAGTCAGTCTACAGAACTATCGATGTTACAAACCCTACTAAAATATTCTCTCTGAGGGGCTGTGAAATGGGATACAGGATTTAAAATTTGCAATTTCCATAGTTCTGATGCTTGTTATGCAGAAAATGAAATTTTACATTTTCTTACTTAAAGGATATTCTAGCTAACAAAGAAGACTAGTAAGTCATTATCTTGTCTTATATTGGTAAAAAGGGTATTTAGTTTACTATAAGTCCCCCTATTCTACTATTCATGTATAAAGTATCACCACTAGAAATGCATGAAAGAAAAACATTACATTTTGAAACCTCACAAACTGCCACAGTGGACTCTTTTTGTTTGAAACAGAACTCCAAACCATGATAAAAAGAGTTTTTAAAACAGAATTACACCAAAATTTCCATTTACCACTAGAATTCTGAGTCTTTCATTCAGAAATGGCTGGTGGGGTGAGGGTATGGATCAATGCTCTCTTTTCTCAGAAATGTAATTGCAAGAAACAGCAAGAATTGCAGAAATAACTGAAGAGCGATTTTTGTGATGCTGTTTTGCTTATTGCATAGCAGATCATCAGAATCCCCAAAGAACAACTGCTGGCTCATCTCACTGAGGAGTGAAAAGGAAGAGTAGAGGGTGAAAAAGCAGAACAGCCCACGTGATTGCAACCTATCACACTTAGTACCTTATGTACGATTTTTAGCCCTTCCTATCTCTCTTGACAAGATAAACGACAAGAGCCTGGATGTAAATGATGCACGCTCACTGCACATGTATTTGACACCAAACTGATATGTCAAAGTCATACCAAAAACCATAATACAAGAACCTGTATATTAAAAAAAAAATAGCCCAACAGATAAAAAATAATGGAGAAAGAATGTTGTTTTGCATTTGTGTTCAATGAACATACTGCTATTCTATATTCATAGCAAATGTATCATTCTAATTTTCAATCAATATTCCATTACTTTCTAAGATAACACTTAATTGATAAAAAGATTAAAATTATTATAGTGGATTTTTTTGTTTACTTTTCTTAACCACTTGTGAAATAGGGAAATATCAAGTGCGTTTTATACCTACTTAATAGTTACAGTATTTTGCGTTATTTATTTTGTTCTGATTTTGGTCCTTCTCTCATTCACACTTAAATGGAGAAAATTTCATATTTAAAGGGACAAATAAAGTTTTATATATGATACTCAGAATACTAAAATTTTTAGTAATGATACCAAATATAGCATTAATAGTTAACGATGGACTTAAACATTGTACTTGCATCTTTTAATTTCATCAGACCCAATGAAGAAAATGCAAAAGTGCTCTTTATAAAATCATCACAAAATGATGACAGACTCCCTTATGTACTACTTACATTTTGCAGTATCAAAGATCTATAACCATCTTTGTTTAAAAGATAAACATATAATATGCTTGAGCAAAAAGGGAATAACTGTTTTGGGGTAAAGGTAATATGTTTTTTTTAAATAGTATACTTCACAATACAGTAAAGTTGCCCTAGATCTCTTAAGACAAACATGATAGGTATGTGATTCATGTCATGACGAAAAGGAGACTACAGTGGCCAAAAGGATTGAGATACAGAATTTTGCCATTTTTCACATATCATTGTTTCCTTTTCCAGATGATCAGAAATATGAATAAATAGAGCAAGCTGAGAGAGTAAAATTTTTCTAAAATGTTAAAATAGAATCTTTGCGCTTCTGAGCAGAAACTATTTCAGATATGATTATTCCAAGGAAGATAAAAACATTCATCATCAATATGAGTAGGTTACCATGGACAGAATCTTATTTTAATACCTTTTCAAATGTTTATATTAAAAAAAGACATGTAAGTAAGCTTCTTAGAATGAAAGTAAGTGCAGAACAAGTAAAGAGACAAGGACACTTGACTGTGGGGTTGTTTTATGTTGAAACAAATATCCCATATAATTAAAAGGAAATGTTTATAAGGAATTTATTTTTTCAATTTGATGTTTTCCAATTTAAAAAATCATATAATTTCTTGAAGATAATATCCTTTGCAGAGCACTAGAAACTCTAGATCAATAAAGCTGCAAAATTTTTTATAAGCTTGTGCATTTGGGACTATTTTTAATACTTGTCAGTAGTAGTATTTGACCGAGGTGCTTAATTTTGTCTCAGGAAACTGCATTCCTTTTGTTTAAATAGTTTAGCTTTAAATTTACGTTTTCCTCCTCCAGCTACTCCCATTGTTCTCATTGATGTCACATTTAACACTGGTGTAAAATATCTGATGGAACAGCAACAAATGTCACCATGGTTTAATGGCAGCTAGAACAAAGCTTTCTGGACAAAATTAAGATTCTGAGGCTTATTGGGAGAGGGTGTGAGCCAAGGGAGTCTGCTGTTGCCTTTGGGTTTCTGCCAGAGTATTCAATTAAAGGCCTAGAGTTTCACACCTATAGAGTTCAAAACTTTCAAAAGGGAATCTCACTTTCAAGAAGTTCTCAAATGCCTTTCTTTGCTTCTTTGAATTTTTGGCTGACACCTCCTCCTTTTCCTAGGGGTTGGTGTAAGAGGCACAATTGTTTATATACTCCCAAAGCTGGCTTCCCATACTTAGCAAATAAACTGAAAATTTGAATTTGAGGGATTTATTATTTGTAGTGATTATTTCTCTGACTGGGGTCAACAAATTAACTACTTACATAGAGAGGAAATAGAAGCGGAGACATCTCAGATTTATGATTATCTCATATATTTAGAACAGAAAAAGCAAAATGAAGGTCTGACTGACAAAGACTTAGACTATCTTTGGTCCTCGAGTCTTACATTTTTTATTCACTAGGAATCTGAAAATCCTGTAAGAACTGACAAGATGCTCTGGTTAGAGACAGAGAAGATTATAAAGCCAAGACTTGTATTTTGATCAGGAAATTATTTAAAGGGTCTATCTTATTTTTAGATTGTCATGAAAAAAATCACCATTCTCAAGTGAATCTAAACATTTCATTTGAAGCATTGAGGTGACCTACAAGACTTCAAGCATGTGGTGTGAAAGCAGTGAAATTATGGGGTGTAGAGAACACAGTATAGTAAATATAGAAGCTAAAGCTTTAATACTGTTACACAGCCTGTAGACAGCCTAAAACTGAGAGGCTATTCTAGTACACATCTCAGTAGAAATACTTCAAATATAGTGTATTTAAACACTATACACTTACAAGAAAGTTTGGAAAGAGAAAGAAAGATTGGAAAGAGATCAGCACTTGGCAACAGTAGAAACAGAGCACAACTTGCTCTCTCCAAAACTTCTGAGTTTTGAAGTGTTGTAGGCTGTGACACAGTAAACTCCATTATAAGATACACAATACACAATAATGAACATCAGAACTTGATCTCTTTCTTCACAGCAATCAAACTTACACCTCATGCCCCTAAAAAATTACTATGAGGAACAAAACCAGATCAAAATAATATAAGATCTTTGAAATTCCCTGCAAGAACTGTGCAAGAGAAAACCCTACAACACTAACATGTGAAAAACATTTCAGTTTAACTCCCAGAAGGTCAAAGATAGGACACTATCACTAACTCTTTAGATAAACCATGAAACATGGAAGGGGAAAAGGTTTTGATAGTATCAGGTTTATATGCCTTTATATTTCTACAAAAGGTCTTGACAGAAAATGAACACTCTCCTTTTATGTGCCTCTTTCCAGCCATAGTAATATTAATGCCTTTTCCTCCAAAGAGGATAGAATTTCTCTCTACTTAAAAATATCATTTTGGAAAATGATAATGAACAATCTAAAGAAAATATTGCATTATATCAGATTTAAAAAAAAGGTGGAAGATGTTTCTTTGTATAATATGGTGTGGGGGAGAGGAGGGTGGTAATTTTAGGACCACTTGACAATCAAATAAACCAATGTCTCCACTAATAACCCTGCAGAATATCCTAACTAGAATAAACAGACCAGATGTAATCAAAGATAAATAATATTTACAGTAGTTAAAAGATAATAAGTCAAGATTTATAGCTGTAACTTATTTTAATCATATCTTTTTCCAAGCAATTTTTGACTCAGTCTAACCCGGCAGTCAAATATTTTGCATTGTTATCTTCTCTGGCATTATATAATTAAAAAATTAATTTGTAACTCTTTAAAAGTAAGGCAAAACAGAGGATATTCTTTTGAACAGAATTAACGAATCAAACTATTTTGTAGATTTGGATACGATTTTTTCACCAAATCCTTGAAAAACAAAAGCAGTATCCTTTTTAAATAACACATATTCAAAATATAAAATTAGATGGTTTAGGGGGAAAAGTTAATGTAACCACAAGAACAAATATATTTTACATATTTCCTCAAAAAACCCTACAAACATATTTTGAAGCAAAATTGATCAGAAAGTTACAAATAGCTTTGAGATTGTGCAGTCATTTATATACTCTGTGTTTTACAATGCAGCAAATAAACACTTCAAAACTTAGAAGGGTCATACCTGAAATGGCTTAGAACTCCTGATGAAGAGTGTCTGTCTGATCCATCTGTTTCCTTGATTTCCAAACTTGTACCACAGCAGCCATCCCTTAGCATTGCTCACAGTTCTTTGGAAGACTGACAGCGTATAAACTTCTTTTCCAAACATATGATAATGAAAGCGGAAAACACAGCTTCCATTGCCAGCAGGGTTGAAGAGAGGACTAAGCAAAACTGCTTTATCCAGGAATTGGCGTGGCTCAGAGGATTCCAGGTAAAGGTAGTGTCCCCTGGCCGTGCCTGTGGTGTGGTCCTTTAATGGGCCTGTATTAACCGTGGGGGTTGGACCCCGTATTCTGACCCAGTCAAAGTCATCCTCTACATCCTGCTCCCAATTGCACAGCCCATTTTCAAAGTTACACTGCAGGTCAGGGTCTGAAATGCAAAGAGAACAAACTGTCAAAAATAAAAAAGCAGTATCCAAAGGGGATAGTGCTTTAATATCTATTTTTTTTTTCTTTATCCTTGCAAATATTTATTTCCAATATATATCTGTCCAATTGTACTTAATGTATTGAATAAACAGAACTGTGAATAAAACTATCCATGTTATTGATTTTATGTATTATTAAAATTAAACACTGTAAAGTTCTTTAACTGAAAGTGAACAGATCAAAGGAGTTAAAATGGAGGTTAATTGAATGAAATAAACCACACCATACTGTCTTGTAGGTATGTGTGATAAATGATCTAATGTATTTGGCAATTGTAGTCCTAAAAACGTTGGTGTTTAGATTTTTATTATCCTCAATAATATTAAAATGATAATTTTATCAAAGCTTAATCAAAGAGTTCCTAACACAACTGGTTTTTTATTTTACACCAAGGCAAAATGTATTGATTACTTCTAATATAAAACAATAAAATGTGTCAGAGGCGGTGAATTTGCATTCCAACTTTGTACCTGCTTTTCATGAGCAGTAACAGACAGTATAGCAATTTTTTTTAAAAATCAAGCTGTTGCATTTAATGGTGTTTAAAACTGCAACTCAAACCTTGTCATAGATCTCACAATGGGTTATAAAGAAGCTAGGCATTCCACATGTAGAAAAACTAAGATAAGCGGAAAGCCTTCACTTTCTTTTAAATTTACAGCAGTTTTAAGTTGATATTCAGCAATTATTACTGCAGACTGATATCACCTCAAGCATGTAAGGTGCCCCCCATTTCTCAAACTGATTGTGATTTGCATAATTTAGTTACCTCAGGAAGTGATAAAGCAAATGCTAGTTCATTTTATTTTACATTAATGTTCTTGAATTCTTAGAATTGATGAATGCATGCTTCAGGGGAAAAACCATCAACAGCACCCTTCAGCACTCAAGGTGAATGTCAAAAATGTGAACTACTCATAGCTTTCCTCAGCACTTTCAAGTTCTTCCTTTGAAGGGGACAAATATGTTCAGCATGACTCCTATCTTTAATATAGATATTTTAACTTTTTTTTGATAGGAAGAGTATAGGTCCTAAGAAGAGGTAGGACATACACTCCTCTCAGCCCATCAGTACATCTTACACTGCACTTCTGTCAGTAAAATCAAAGATCGCACATTGACCCAAAACAACTGTCTGATTTTAAATCTTCTCTTTTAAAGCAAATTTATAATGAGTGTTCGTGTTTTACACAAGATGAAGAAATGTAGTTACTTTGGATAAAGGAGATAGAATTACATTTACCCTCATTTTAACTCATCATATTCATTTAAGTTTAAAATTATAATTCTGTTTTATCTCTAACTATATTGAGTGGAATCATTACTGGCTCTAGCAATTGTGTGCTCTTTCAGTCCAGGAGTGAAATGGCAAGTCAACTTTTGTGTGGTGTAAGAAAGCAAGAGTGGAGAGTACTTACCACAGCTGTCTTCATCTGATCCATCCCCACAGTCATCCACAAGATCACAGACCAATAAACTGTCAATGCATGCTTTGGTGTCCCTGCACCAGAAGCGATTTGGACCTTCACAACTTAATGCTGGAGGTGGAAGAGCACAGTTTTCAAATGTGATATCATCAATTGCTGAGACACCCTCATAAAAACCCAGGCTGATTTTCTCAAGTGAAAACTGGAAACGGTATGGGAGGCGTCCAAGCTGAATGACTGCCTTCAGCCACTGGTTTCCCTCGCTGTAATACGTCCTCCAAAGCACAGTAGGCCACTTCAGCCCTTCCACAAGCAATTGCAGCTCTGCTGCCCCAACTGACTCTCCATAATTGTAGTACCTAAAATGATAAAAATAAGAATGTCAAGTGGGCAAATGATGAAAATGGACCACGTCAGTTACAATGACCAGTATCTTTTCTGTTATATCTCTGTGATATATAAGAAGTCCATAGGGCCTAAAATTCAATTCATTTTTTGAATGATGATAGGACAGGCTGCTATATCAGTCTAGGGCCCATCTCAAGAATTGAAGATTTTGAGAGAAGCAGCATACTTCATTAAATTGAAACCCATAACTGAAGAGACATGTTTGCTTTTATATTAAGCAACAAACACTGCTCGCTCAGATGCATAATGTATTTTTATAAATTTAATTTAGTGTATGATTGTAAAGTTTCAAGAAGGAAAAAGAGAACATCTACTGAATGCATAAGTATGCTTTCTATCTATGTTAGTTATTGTTAACATGTCACCTTCTGCAGCATTTAAAGCTAATAAATGCTTAGATTGGCAATTGTACAACAAAACTGAGAGCAGAAGCACATATATATCCAACAACTTGCAATGCACAACTTCAAGTCATGAACCTTGGATAAAAAGACTGTTCCCCTTCCTATGGCAGATGTACTTGACATCACTGAGACAAACTGCACTCAATAACATCAAGGTCAGGCCAAACCTTCATTTAAACAACAGCACCAATTTGGCCTTAGTAAACAAATGATCAAAGCTATATTTTTTGTGTCTATCTTTGACAAGTTTACACAAAGACTGAGACAAGACAATTACTGAAAATGATTTTTGGGGTTTGATTGTTGATTTTTAGTTTTGGGGTTTTGTTGTTTTGTTTTTCCCATGTATATGGAAAGAAGTGGAAGTAAAGAGCCAATTCTCACACTGGAACTCTTATTTAAAAATTATGTCTACTTTTGCATACTCTAGGCAACTCAAGTACCTATTAGATTTTGCAATGCTTTCCTCTCCTTGAAAAAAATTCCACATTTTCAAATTTACTTAAGAATTACCAAAGAATTCTTAGCAAAAGGACTGTGTTATTTGCCCATGTATACACAGGCACAATCCTTTACTATAATTTTGCTCTTAGCCTGACAACAAAGTCATGTCACGTTTCACTTCTTTTCTCCAAGTGTTTCATCTTATATCTGTATTGTTCACAATGAAGACTGTACGCTGACAGAATAAAATGAAATAAATACTTCAGAGAAAGATGTATCTATTTCCAACTATAACCTCAATTTCAGTCCAAGCGAAGCAATGTGAGATGATACAGGAATTTTAAATGTAAATTATTTCATACCAAAAGGACAGGGTGCAATTTGATCCCGATTGCCTGAACTTTGGGCTTTGCAGCCGAGCTACTTGTGAAATGCTGTTGCTAGTCTTCAGAATGAACATAAAATGACCTGTTAAAATAAAACAAAAAGCAACTTTTCAGGCTAAAGAAATAACGAGTTTATAAAGGTTTTTGCAGCATTCATGGCCTCCACTTAAAATCTGGTTAAAGAGCAGGCTTATCTATTCCACTTCTCTGTTTCTAGGCTTGGCTTGTCTTACCTTCAGATTTGTTATAGGTGTGATCCCGTGGAGGAGCTTGCTTTTGAAATGCAGGTGGAAGAGCATTGCTGGAACTTCTTACCCAGTCAAATTCATCTGCATTTATAGTTTCAACCCAGCCACAGTTCTCCCTTTCAAAGTCACACACAGCAGCTGGAATAAAGAGACATTTCATTTCTATACGCAACATTACTAAAAAAGTTGTACTATGAAAGGTAAATAAAATATTTCTAATATGCCATCAATATTCTAGGAAAAAAGTCTAGGAAAGGGTGTGGAGAGGCAGAGCAGCTTCATACCAGACATGAGGTATTTGCTTAGTAGCAGCCGAGTAAAAGAGCAGCCACAGAGGAGAAGCCAAGCCAGTGCTGTGTGCCCTGCTCTCAGTGAAACAGCCCCTTCTCTCTTGGGGTGCTTCAGCCAAAGCACTCAGAGCAGGCAAGGAGGTGCTGAAAACAAACATCACAGTCCTCCTGGTACAGAGCAAGAACACTGAGCACACAAGGCAGCAACAAACCTCCTGCAAGATCTTTTCTGTTGTTGGAGCTAGAAATTAAATCCCCTTTTTCCTAAATGACAGCAAGTATGTTAATGATAACAAAGTCCTTCCTCTATTCTTAATTGGAATAAAGTTAAATATCAGGCATTAGTGAGACACTATGATATTGGTAATCCCTGAAACACAAACGACTGAAGTGAAAAAGATCTGAAAAGCATATTCAGCTGCATTCTTCAATTCTTCGATTAAAAGAGCAATGATATTTGAGAAAATGTATATATTACAAATAAAGGGGGGGGAAGGAGTGGAAGGGTGTAATTTATCAATGAATGTAATTTAACATAGAATCATGGAACAGTCTGGGTTGGAAGGTACCTTAAAGATCTGTTAGTTCCAACCCCCTTGCCATAGGCAGAGACAGCTCCCCCAGACCAGGTTCCTGAGAGCCCCATCCAACCTGGCCTTGAACACTTCCAGGGATGTGGCACCCACAGCTTTCCTGGGCAACATGTTCCAGTGACTCACCACTCCCAGAGTAAAGAATTTCTTTACATCAGGTTTTTCTCTCTGGCACTTTATAAAAAATCTTTGTTAAATCACAAAATTATATTTTTTTATTCCTGCAAATATAGCAGGCTTTAAATGGAAAACAATAGTAGAATTATTTAAAGACTTTAGGAAATAATTTAGTAATCATATACATAGAATAAATAAAGCAAATATTCTGGTCTGACTGTCAGAATTCTGTCATTATTTTATAACTCTTATCACAGCTTTCAGCAGTCTTATTATGCTGTATGTATGGAGAATATGCACACATCAGAATCATATGAAGTCCCCTGAAGAATAAGATTACCTCAGTGTTTATGTATGGAAAATATAGGCTTTTTTTTCTATTTGTTGTGTTGATTTTGTTTTCCTCTTTAGAAACTATGTCACACCAAGTTATACATAATTTTTTAGAAAGAAAGAAAAATTACTGAGGCATGTTAGCAACATTGATGGCTATAGCTTCTAAAAAGAGAAGGGTTTGTAAATTATTAAGCAATTAAAAGTCCACAGCTTCAAAAAAAAAAGAAAAAGCATTCTACAAATATGGAAGAACAAATAACATTTAAGAGATCAGAGAAAATATGTTTCCTCTGCATATGGTGTATGAGGGTCAGAAATGCCAACAGTAAAATGATGCAAATCAG